GACTTGGAACCGAACTTTAATAAAAGCTCGACTCATTGGAGTCGAGTCGAACCGAACCGAACTTTTAACATCCCTAACCATACGTATAACAATGTCCTCATTTAATTTAATATTAAATAAAAATTAAGATTTAAAGATGATTTTATAAACAAATTTGAGATAGACAGTATACGTATCGGTATATATATATAGTAATTAAATTTTGATACGTACGTAAATACATATCGATATTACCAAAAGTTTTAAAAACAATCATGTGAATATTGGATATCGAGTAAAGTTAAATTTTAAATATTTTAAGAGCAAAAAAAAAAATTAGATTTGTTAAAATTTTCAATCTTGTTTTCAAATGTTCCGTGTAATATCGTAACCTCAGAATGAAACACAACATAGATATGCATTCTATTGGTCAATTTAGAACTTTTAAAATCACATGAATTTATCACATTTTGAATTAATTAGCATCAGCCAATCAGAAAAATGACTTCTTATGAACCGGCACCCCATTTTTAGTAAAAAAAAAAACCTGAGTAATTATTTCGATATGAATGATTTTATGACACAAAAAAGCTATATGTAGAACGAAGGTGAGGTCGTCATTGACGTCAATGCAGAGTTTAATATTACTATTAAACTAATTCTTCCAAAACTAGATTCCTTTTAGTCTCTGCACTTAACGCACAGTCATACCACGATCTTTATATTTAAACTTCAAACCTAAACGTAAAAATAAAAATCTGCTATGTTTCGCTGCAACGCATGTCATGCAAATATTGGCAATACAGTCCGCATTAATTGTGCTGTTTGTCAAGATTTTAACCTCTGCGTTACCTGTTTTACTTCTGGAGAAGAATTGGAGAAACATAAGAGTTGGCACGATTATCGTGTTTTGGTGCGTCATTACTTTCGTTTATGTTTATTTTTACCTCAAAAGAGGTTAACTAACAATTGATGAATTGATTCTTAATTGATGTTAATTAAATGTATTAGGAGCAATACTCGTTCCCATTATTTCACGAAGATTGGGGCGCAGATGAGGAAGAATTATTGATTGAAGGCGCAGAAATGCATGGCTTGGGTAATTGGGCAGATATTGCTGAATTTATAGGGAATCGAACAAAAGAAGATTGTGAACAACATTATATGAAAACGTATGTTAATAGTGAAACATGGCCACTGCCGGTAAATAATAAATGTTTCGTGTTATTTTGAATGACACTAATTGAAGAAAATGATTCATTTAAAAGATATCAACGGTAAAAAATATTTATTTTATTTTGATATAGGATATGAATGTGAAATTTCAAATAGACGAAGAGACGATGCGTGAACGAAAACGGCGGCGTTTGCAGACAATAGAAAATCGTCCCCAAAGTAATCTTACTTTATTTCATTATAATTATTTGATCTATTTATTAAAGTTTCTTTTTTTTTCTTAGATTCAACGCAGAAAACTCCTACAAAGGTATTTGTTTTATCATTATAAAGCGTAAGATTAGTTCGTTTACATCTTGTACTAATAGCCCTGAATATCATAGGTTCTACAAAGTTTGCCTGCAAACCATGAAATTGCAGGATACATGCCACACCGATACGAGTTCGAAACTGAATATGAAAATGATGCAGAACTAGTAATTAAGGATCTGGAACTGAATGAGCAAGATGATCCACAAGATTTCGGTGTGTTTATCTTTCTGCATCTTGGTGCATCTTGGATTGTATGATTTCTGCCAATAATAAATTGTAAATGTATAATAGAAATGAAAACTTACGTTTTGGAAATATACAACAAAAAACTGAATAAACGCGCTGAACGAAAAAGACTAATATTTGAACACGGATTGTTGGAGTTCAGAAAGAATGTGAGAAAGGATTACTGCACTGGTTCATTAATAAGCACGGCCAATTGTGGTTTACTTATTTGATATTTGGTTTTTTTTTTTCTCCATCTTTCTCTTTTAACACAGAAAGCAATTGAGGATGAAAAGTATAAAAGTAAAGAAGAAAAGGAGCTGATAAATAGAATCAGACCTTTTGCACAATCTTTGTGCAAGAAAGATTTCGATGATCTAAGAGATGAACTATTTGGTAAGTATATTTATATTTTAGTCATTTAAATATCTGCATATTTAAGAAAAAAAAACAAAAAACAAAAAAAAAAGGAAAAAAACAAATATTTATTGTTTAGAGGAACTAAGCACTCGACTCGAAATAAGAAAATTAAAAGAATATCGCCAAATGGGAATAATGACACTAAGCGAGGCAAATAAATATGAAAAAGCAAAGGCACAAAAGGTAGGCTTTGTTTTTTTTCTTTACATTGAAATCAATATACATGCTACAAATTATTGTTTATTGTTTAGGAGGCAAATCGAGAATTAGCTGCTCGACCATATAACGGTCATACGATTCCGATATCGTATAGCGATCGTCTGCAAGTAAAATATTTTTCTTCCAAGATGAATGAGGTGCGTGTTGTATGGTATTATAATGATAATTTAGACTCGGAATTTATATGCTGTGCTAACAGTATTTAACATGCCTAAAAATTCATAATAAACCGTGATTTTTTAATCTTTTAAAGCAGCATTCACCATCATCATCTCCTTATGGTAATAAAACACTTCCAGCGGCAGCATCGCCAGTTATCAGACTAAACGTGCGAAAACAACCACAAGCGTTAGACCTTAACGATGAAGAAGGAGTACATTTATTATCGGAGGCTGAACGAAGATTATGTGAGACTTTACGGATATTACCAAAATCCTATTTGGTGATCAAAGAAACAATTCTTAAAGAATGGGCGAGATCGGGTGGAACCCTACGAAGAAGACAAGCTAGAGGTCTTATAAGAATTGATGTTAATAAGACAGCAAGAATATACGACTTTTTTATAGAGATGGGTTGGATACGACAGTTATCTGATAATACTTCTAATAATTAGTGTACAGCAATTACTTTGCAACAATAACATGACCAGTAGTCAGATTCATGTATATTGTTAGAGCATCTAAAGAAAAAAAACATTAGCAATATCAGATAGCTTTTCTTAAGTCATTACTTGCACAACCACAATAAGTTTCACAAAATAATTGAGTTCTTTGACAGAATCGCATTAGTCACATGATATATTGCACGAGTGTCGATAGTAGTTAAAAGCCTTTTTTGGCACATTTGAAAAAACTTGTATTTATTTTTTTTTTGACAGAACCGCATAAGTCACATGATATATCGTGCAATCCTAAAGTTGATGGCCTTGAGTTTTCTTTTTTATTATAGCAAGTGTATACATGTTGTAGGTGGATTTGGAATTCTGTGGATTCTAAATCCATTTAAATGAATTCTAAATTCAGAATCAACTTAATTTGATTTCAGATCTTATAATCGCTTGCAATAAACAAACTATAAATATCTTTCGATAATCATATGGTACTTTTTGAAGTCTATGCAGCTATAACTTCATCCAAAATTTAGTGATACTAATTGTCGCGGCTGAAGCTGGAAATTTTAAATATTTTAATACGAAATTTCGAAATTTTTGGGGGCATTTTTTTAGCCTTTTTTTTTTTTTTTTACAGTTAGGTTAGTATTTAGGGTTAGTTTGATAACAAAAGAGTATAGGCGGGTTTTGGTAGGGTTTATATTTTAAAATCGAGGTCCCTAATGTCCAGCTTCAGCCGTGGCGATAATCAAAATTTTCAATTGATATTTTCGATTTTAAAAATATTTTGATATCCAGCTGTCTAAAATCGTCGCGAAATAACGCGCATGCGTGTTATTTCGAACAATACCCGAATTAGGCCAAAATTCGAAATCACATCCCTGCGCGTTATTTCGCGAAAATACAGGTATTTTGATTCTATATAATTGTATCAAATAATTTTTTTTTTTTTACTAAATTTACATAGGTAGTCGCAAGATATTTTCCTAAGGTTTGGAAAAAACCGATAATTATCAATCAAGTATAGCAAAGTTTTTTCCAAACTTTGAGCGAAAATATCAGGACAACCACCTATATAAAATCGTTATATTTTTTTTCGTCATTTCGATTCTACAATATATAACTATTAATTAAAATTAAAAAAATCTCATCAATCTTAGATATATAGTTATCGAGATATTTTCGCTCCAAGTTCAGAAAAACTTAAAATAGAAACCATAAAATTTTTTTTCAAACTTTGAGCAAAGATATCTCGACAACTTTCTGTCCAAAATCGATGAAATTTTTTTACGATTAGTATAATTAAAATAAAAAAATTATATCGGTTTTTGAACTTATAACTATTAAAACAAATTGTGGCAAAGTTGTTTTCAAACATTGAGCAATGATATTTCTTCTAAAATCGATGTAATTAAAATAAATGTTTCAATTTTAGAAAATAGCTAGTTTCAGGGATATATTTGCTCAAAGTTTGATATTTGGATTATTAATTTCATCCGATCAGAATGTGAGTATTCAAGTAAAATCTCATTTTAGCGATAATTTTGTCGCCATGGCTAGGGTACTGGGAAAGGAGTCCACTTCTCGGATCATGGTTCGAGACTGAAAATTGGATCATGATCAAAGAAACTAATTAACAACGAAGAACTACATAACTGATAAGGAACAATTTAAGTTTTAAACACTTCTCTAATTTTAAAAGAAACTTGGCTGAAAAGTTTATAATTCGAAGATTTATTTCAGATATGAAAAACTTTTATAATTATTTTTCGCTTAATGTATAAATTTCCGATTAACTATTAGAACTAACATATTTATTTAACAATCTTGCTTAGTCCAGTAGTCGCTAAATCATTTTTATGTTCTTAATTCGAAAATGAAAACGAAATTTTAATAATTTATAGCATTGATTTGATAAATTTGCCGGTTTTTGAGTTGATATCATTGACCGAAAATGGGGCATATATTTGAATTTTGCCTATTATCCCAAATAAAGTAGAAACCCCGACTCCCAAACCAAAACTACGTAATATGTCACCATTCAAAAAAGATTAGGATCGTAATCCTAATATCCACCAGCACCTGGAGCATTCGCATCCTTTTTCAAACCGAGAAGTAACTCTTTGAAACGGCCAACATCCTTAACGTGTTTAGTAGACGTTTTGCTCTGAACATTTGAAATATCAACTTGCTTGCAAATGCGTTCCCAAGTTGTACCCGAAGTGAGATCGTCTCGCTCACGTAAGAACTCTTCTTCTTCTTGTCTTTATAATTTAAATATTAGACATAAGAGACAATAATCTAATCATTACTAATAAGGATTACTATGAAATTAAAATATTACTTGTTAATTGCATGTGCTCGTGCCTTCTTTTCGTTATATTCCTCATAAAACTTGTCAATTGCGTCCCGTGCAATAGCGATCGTTTCCCGTCTTTTCGCCTCAGACTCTTCATCACGCTTTGCAATAATCTCTCTTTGTCGTTCCTTCCATTGCCTATGAATCAATTAGAACATAGATCATTCAGAAAGTAATAATTATAGACGTGAATTTGATCATAATAACCTCATGTCTTTGGTTCTTAGCTACCGAATAATTTCAGGCTCTTCTTCATAAGATTGATAGCTCCCCGATGAAACCAAACCGTTGGTACCAGTATATAAAGTCTTTAATAATAAGAAAGATTATTAATTATTTAAAAGCAAATAATGACTAATTTTGAAATTAGTTTATAATCTTTTTAATTAACAATTTTCTAATACACACCTGAGTATTGTTAACTTCTACTTGTGGAAATTCGGAATGAAAAGCAGAATAATCGGGTAAGGCGCTAGAAGCAGATCCGGCACCAGGCACAGTACTAATGGTTTGACTAAAAACGTTACTGTTCGTTGAAGAAGAAGATAGATCTGGAAAGGCATCAAGCTCATTCGAAGTGGAAACTGAATTGGTTGCATTAAATATTGCAGCATCGTCTCCAAGAACTGCTTGTTCCCTTGCCAGGAAATCGGCGGTGGGATCAGAGTCCAGAAGCGTATTTGAGGATATGGAATGGTCTTCAATTGGTGGAAATTCAGTGTCAAAGTCTGCCATTGCGAAAATTTACTTAAACACGAAAGATATGGCTTAGAGGTCAGAAGTCAAAGAAGAAATTTGTCTGATTGGTTAATTTCTATGGATTATATCCGTGATCACACGTAATAATTAACCAATCAAATTACATAATTTTTTTTTTATTAGATAATACAGTAATATACACTGGGTGAAATTGGTATTTATTATTAATAACCAAACCAAAACTTACAGTATTACGATTGAAAGACCCAAACATATCGCAAGAACCGAATATTAAAAGTCCTATTCAAAATAAATACTAAACTCTGAAAAATTTTTGGACCTCTGGTCCATATCGATAACGCGTCTAACTCGTCTTCCCATTACCTTAACGCATCTTTACCTCGGACATTGAATTAGCACAGTCAAAAGATTCGTAGCCAAAATTTTTAAAGCTTCTAGTTATCTCATTCCACTATATGATACAATGGTAGACATATTTTCTTTTAAGTTTTTCAAGTGTTTAAAAATTTATGTTCGCAGTGATTTTTGATTAATGTTCATAAAACCCAAGTAATTGATTTACATTAGCCAATTAAATGAATTTCTTTCTATGAAGTTAGAAGGGTACCTTTCATTCGCGAATAAGTATATAGAAAATTATCTAAAATTTGATTATTAATAATTCAGTAAATTAGAAGTTTACGTGATCTTAAAAAAAAAAGAACATGCGTATTTATAGTGATAGGTGGATTAGTGGTGGCAGAAACGATCCTCGGTCCCGTGATTTCCGAGTAAAGTAGGTCCAATAAAATCCAGAATATCAAACACAATCATTAGGAGGATCGTTTCTGCCACCACCTCGAATTTACAATTATATAATCGTCTATCGTTAAATTTGAGATAGCGATAGACTCTTGTACTTATCCAATCACGGCCATTTCCCCTTCGACGCACTTTTTGACAGCGGTCGGTTTCGTATAACATACCAGATCTAAGATCATTTAATTTAATTTTACAGGAGATATACTTTTTCGGCAAATTTCATATAATCATAACATAAGGGTATCTGGTGTTACAAAACTACGATAGCTTTTTGCAAATCTTAGAGCACATATGCGAATTTTACATGTTCGGTTTAAACAGAATTTATTAAGTGATCGGTTTATCCAGATTCTGTTTAGAAGAGTTGACTATAAGTAAAAAAAATCAACACATGAAAAACTTTATAAGTATACTTTATAGAAGAACTAAAGGCATACTTCAAGGGCATGTATAATACTATTATAAACGGTTATGACAAATAACGAAAATAAATTATATGCGATGAGAATAGTCACTTAATGAGATGCTTCTCTGTTTTGGAACTTTCAAATATTTTTAATAAAAATGCAATTAAAATTGATTGTCTAGGTAGTGTATAATTGACAATTACAAAAATGTAATAATTTAATATCCAAATTTTTCTTCGTAGCCAGGAACCGTCCAACGTCCTTTTTTAACCATTTTTTCAACAATATCATTGAGTTCCGGTTTAGCTTTAACCAATTCATCAACCTATAAATGAGTGAAATTAAGTTAGAAAAAGTCATAGAGGAAGAAATAAATATAAATAGAATTCAACATTTACACTAATATCTTTGAAAGGCCTCGTTTGTTCCATGTTTGTCAAAGTAGCCTGCAAGTCCCGAAGCTCGGCATCAACTTTATCAACTGTCTTTTTTGCGTAGTCAATCTGTAATATTTAATCTCGTTGATAACGTGATCTGATTGTACGGCTACTTAAAAAAAATGGCTTAATACTTACGGCTTTCTTTTCAAAAGTTTCAACAATTTTCAACTGTTCCTCCAGATCAACTTTTGTTGGTTTAAATTGTTTTAAAACGTTTTCAGCTTCATTTACGATTGCCTTATTCTTTAAGATGTTTCGATAATTCTCGAAATCAATGTCGGTTTTTTGTTGTTTAAGAGCAGATACAACGCGTTTTGCCTCGTCATTACGTTTACGAAAAGCCTGTAAAGCTGTTATAGTTTCTTTTTTTAGACCTAAAGTTACAGTTAATTTTGACCAGTCAATAGAGGCAGCTCGAACCGAAGCCATGTGGACAAGGATCTTTTTTTTTCAACAGATGAGCATAGTGGATGTTTGTTTTTATTAGCATAGCGGGCATTCATTCTGATTGGACGATCATCACCATATATGTTACTATTACATTTACCGATAATCTGACTTT